CCGATTTGCCTGCAGGTCCATTAACACCTCATCTCCGGTCAGAGTTCGCATGGCGGGAAGTTTGCAAACTCAGCGGGAAGCTTAGTTTGTTAACGGCGTACATTGGCTCAGTGTATAAGTTAGGGAAATGTATACGAATCAAATACTTATGGCTTTGGTAAAATACGTTGATATATTTAGGGATTGCAACACGGACATCGATAACATGATTTATCTCTTTTTTATAAAGGTGTGTCGACGCTGTACCAGTTGAACCTAGATTTTTATAGTGGCCAATTTTGATAAAGTTCATGGGGGAATCAAACCAATATTAAACTAACATTCGACCTTGAATTGCACAATAAACTAGTTATAAGGGATGTCTGATCGGAGTAATATGGATTTATTAGCGTCCAACAAATGGCCTAACTTAGTCTAGACAAAAGCAAAGTATAAATCATAAAATGGCTTAAATTTGTAAATACCACAGGTACTATTCACTCGAAATCCATCGAAATGCCCTTTCATTACCTCCGCCAAGGAGGTTGTTTTCACCCCTGTTTGTTTGCCTGTCTGTCTTTCTGTCTGTCTGTCATCAATATAACTCAAAAAAGTTATGGACCTATTTTGATGAAATTTTCAGGAACTGTCAGAAGTGGGCCAAGGAACAGATGATTAGTTTTTGGTGGTGATCCGGAACAATAATCAATCAATAATCAAAAATATCGAAAATTTAGGGGTGAAACGGCATTGGACGGAGACTCTGCTGCCTTGGCGGAGGTCTGCTCTCTCTAGGTGCTTTTCTAGTTATCCAAGTCATTATCCTAGTGTAGGCCTACTAAGGCTACGTCCACATAATTATGTCCTAAATAATGCACTGCGAGTATCGGGCTAGGGGGTGGCAGTGCATCATTTGTCATACATACATACAAAGGAAAATCGCACGTTTCCTAAGATCCCCTAATATAGAATAGAATACGCTGATATCACCGCGCTGCATCACCGCGTATAAGGTGACATGAGCCCACAGCAGGTAAGTGCACATAAACAATTGCTTCTGTATCGGTACTTCAAAATGCTTTAGTCGTGTGCATCTAGCCAAACTGATGCAATCCCCCTGGTTAAAAGAAGAATACGATATGCTATAAAGAGAAACAAGATGTAAAATAAACCAATAAATAAGTTTGTAAATAGGAGCCGTTTATAAAAATTTATATCAGTAGTTGGTTAAAACTATGGCATTTGTACTTTATAGTTTCATTTTAAAAACCACATGAAATAAATAAGAATGATTAAGTCATAAAGATATTGGATAGTTGCTATAACGAATTAATTTTTTTAGAAGAAAAGTTAATTTTTCATTCTTAATGACTTATTCTCCGTGGGTTATCTGACAAATTACACATGAATAAATTGTGACTTATCAAAACCATTTGGCTTTCTTCGCCTAAATTTAGGGACCAGTGATTTAAAGCCATACACCCTTCGGATATTAAGGTGCGTGGAATGGCTGCACACACCGCCCTTCACCTGTTCTGGGCGTTGAGAGGATTTCTCGGACATATTCAATCGCTGATTTATATTCAGTATTTGATACTTGGAGGGAAATATATGAAAGCAGCGAGGGAATCAATTCGACCTTTTATTCCAAATACCAATTGTGTTTGAAATCTGCGACTAACGAAAGGATATTCACAAAATAATTGGTCGTATATCACCCATCGGATTAATACGTCCCACTGAACTCTAATGAAGGTCTGCGTCTGGAGGCTGGTGTAAACAAGTTTTACTTATGGCTCAGATTAACACATTCAATTATTCTTGAGTTAACGGATCGCATAAATCGTTACCGAGAAAATGATTCATATTCCTGGACGGAAGATCAAAACATTTTACCGACTCCTTCAAATATAGTATTAAGTGAGAGCATATGCAGTAAGTAAGGAACGGGATAAGAGAACCAAGAGTACACTATCTTCAAACGTGACGGCATGTAGCCGGAGTGAGGGGAATTTTAGAGATAGTGCACCACACAGGGGGGAGACATAACTTCACCATTAATGAGAGTGGTATAAGTGAAACTCTTAGGCTCGTCAAACTAAATTTAAACCGGGATTGTTAGCACGCGCTTTGGTGTGTGCAGATCTTAAAGAGGAAGAAGTTTAAGGATTTGTTTCCGTTGTCCTGATAATGTCACCCATCAAATTCATTCCTTGTCTTTCCAGTCTCTTCTCTTTGGAACACTCGACCTCGCCCTGGTTATGTCACATTTAAGTATTGACAGCTGTTCAAAACGCACCTCTTGTGCTATACTTGTGCTTGAACTGGGAACTCGGTGCAGCGAGGGCAGACATCCGAAGATACGACTCTGCTACCTGTATGGAATATAAACATGTACTGTATTGGAAACTATGACAAAATGCATCAGTGCATTTCATATTCTGCACCTAATATGTCAAAATATATATCAGAGAGACTTATTCAGATGCGACTACCCCTATTTAAAAAACACGTTTTGTTTATTTATAAAATGCTGTCCGCTTATGATACATCTACATGTTTGTACCAAGGAGAGAGCAAGTGAACGCTTGCGGCAATTTTTTTTTNAATCGCACGTTTCCTAAGATTCCCTAATATAGAATAGAATACGCTGATATCACCGCGCTGCATCACCGCGTATAGGGTGACATCAGCCCACAGCAGGTATGTGCACATAAACAATTGCTTCTGTCTATCGGTACTTCAAAATGCTTTAGTCGTGTGCATCTAGCCAAACTGATGCAATCCCCCTGGTTAAAAGAAGAATACGATATGCTATAAAGAGAAACAAGATGTAAAATAAACCAATAAATAAGTTTGTAAATAGGAGCCGTTAATAAAAAGTTATATCAGTAGTTGGTTAAAAGTATGGCATTTGTACTTTATAGTTTCATTTTAAAAACCACATGAAATAAATAAGAATGATTAAGTCATAAAGATATTGGATAGTTGCTATAACGAATTAAATTTTTTAGAAGAAAAGTTAATCTTTCATTCTTAATGACTTATTCTCCGTGGGTTATCTAACAAATTACATATGAATAAATTGTGACTTATCAAAACCATTTGACTTTCTTCGCCTAAATTTAGGGACCAGTGATTTAAAGCCACACACCCTTCGGATATTAAGGTGCGTGGAATGGCTGCACACACCGCCCTTCACCTGTTCTGGGCGTTGAGAGGATTTCTCGGACATATTCAATCGCTGATTTATATTCAGTATTTGATACTTGGAGGGAAATATGTGAAAGCAGCGAGGGAATCAATTCGACCTTTTATTCCAAATACCAATTGTGTTTGAAATCTGCGACTAACGAAAGGATATTCACAAAATAATTGGTCGTATATCACCCATCGGATTAATACGTCCCACTGAACTCTAATGAAGGTCTGCGTCTGGAGGCTGGTGTAAACAAGTTTTACTTATGGCTCAGATTAACACATTCAATTATTCTTGAGTTAACGGATCGCATAAATCGTTACCGAGAAAATGATTCATATTCCTGGACGGAAGATCAAAACATTTTACCGACTCCTTCAAATATAGTATTAAGTGAGAGCATATGCAGTAAGTAAGGAACGGGATAAGAGAACCAAGAGTACACTATCTTCAAACGTGACGGCATGTAGCCGGAGTGAGGGGAATTTTAGAGATAGTGCACCACACAGGGGGGAGACATAACTTCACCATTAATGAAAGTGGTATAAGTGAAACTCTTAGGCTCGTCAAACTAAATTTAAACCGGGATTGTCAGCACGCGCTTTGGTGTGTGCAGATCTTAAAGAGGAAGAAGTTTAAGGATTTGTTTCCGTTGTCCTGATAATGTCACCCATCAAATTCATTCCTTGTCTTTCCAGTCTCTTCTCTTTGGAACACTCGACCTCGCCCTGGTTATGTCACATTTAAGTATTGACAGCTGTTCAAAACGCACCTCTTGTGCTATACTTGTGCTTGAACTGGGAACTCGGTGCAGCGAGGGCAGACATCCGAAGATACGACTCTGCTACCTGTATGGAATATAAACATGTACTGTATTGGAAACTATGACAAAATGCATCAGTGCATTTCATATTCTGCACCTAATATGTCAAAATATATATCAGAGAGACTTATTCAGATGCGACTACCCCTATTTAAAAAACACGTTTTGTTTATTTATAAAATGCTGTCCGCTTATGATACATCTACATGTTTGTACCAAGGAGAGAGCAAGTGAACGCTTGCGGCAATTTTTTTTTTCTTGGTGGTAGGGGGGGGGCACGCAATACAATTCATATTCCTTTGCTGATTAGTTGACATTCGTATGAGAGTCAAGACACTATTGAAAGATTATTATGCCACCAACTTATCTCAACCCATTGAAGGCAATACCCATGTATTAAATTTTTGGGGGCCGAATTGAAACGTTAACTTTAAAAGATGTAACAGTTTATCCCTGCCAGGCAAACCGTTAGTTACAGGTTTTGATTTTCCAACGTGGCCAACGCAAACCCTGCACACACGAGTTTTGTTTTCTTTTATTGCAAGACAGAATGCCAAAAATGGCCGCGGAAAGATAGCAAAATTATATCAATTGTAACCTAAGTCGCCCCAAGGAGCCTGTTAGTTACGCTACCATGCATTAATGTACAGCATATAAAGTTTTATGCATTTGCAATCAAAATGTCGAAGAAGCCTCTTCGGCCTCGGTGCTACGGGTCACTTTGCTCTGTCAAAGTCCTGTAAACCATACCGTGCTATAATTTGATATTAAAACTTAATCAGAACTTCCCCCCTGACGTGCATTTGTCAGTCTTTTTTTCGCATCCTCGCAAATGAAACTGAAAACTGACAAAACTTGAAGGTTCCAATTCGATTATGTGCTGCACGGCCCAAAACTGGTCATGCATATTTGCTCCAGAGTGATCTTTTTTTGACCCTTTGAATTAAATGTTCGGAAGTAACTTGTTGGCAGGATGACGATCAGTGATTCCCACAATGTCATTATAACGATAGAGTTATCGACCGATTAGGCGCACATGCTTGACCAAAATCTCTTCTCAGTTAATCCATCTGACGAGGCGATATCAGTCTTCTCAATGCGCTTCTAAACCGAGAATATAACTTCCGCATAAAATGCCCTTCACGAAAGCTATTATTTGTGGTCTGAACTTTCCTCTGCGTTGGATCATTCTTGGTGTCATGTTATATTAGCGAGTACAGATAATTAGGGACTAGAATCAGCAGCATCTGCCTATCCCGGCATGCAGCGGGCCATTTATTGACTTGAACAGAAATATTAGTGGCAACCGATGAATCGGATGTTTGCATGCAACTACACTTTGGCAGACGTTATTACCATGCTGACACAGCTGTTGCTACTTTGGGTGACAATTTTAACGATGCCAATTGCATACGTTGACGCTGGATGGAAAGAGAAAAAAGTAGTGAGAAAAACAGATGAGCAGAGACTTTTGGAAAAACTTTTACACGGTTACGAGAGCTACTCACGCCCGGTGTTTAACGCATCTGAGTCAGTGGAGGTAAAATTTGGAATAACCTTGACCACAATTTCAGATATGGTAAGTAAAATATGGTGAACATGTCAACACACGAAGGAACCTTTTCAAAAACCCACCGAATAATATTCTAAAGAAATTTTACCTCCATTTTTCGAAATGTGAATTTTAATCATCAGGAAAGGGTTGGAGTAGGTTCCTTCGTGTGAAGCATTTTATGGCTTACAGTTTATATTTACCTTTAAAAATTTCAGCACCCCATCGCAGTCGCCGGATTAGAAAAGGCAGAGAGATAAAAATCCCTGACGAACAAAGGTTACTAAGAAACCTTTTGTACAAATACGACACTGCTTCCCGTCCTGTCTACAATGCATCTCATACAGTCACTGTAAAATATGGACTAACTTTGACGCAGATAGCTGATATGGTAAGAACACAGAAATATACTAATGATATGTCATATTTCTTAACCTAGATTTTATATGTTTGACAATCTAGATTTTTAACAGCCGAAACACCTAGGAACGACAGGTTTTAGCCTGAATCATTATCTATCATTTTCAATTGCCAGTCATCCGTAGTGGTAGACCCCCATCTTGCGTCAAAGTGTTACGTATATGCTCATTTTAATTGAGACATTTGAAGATAAATTTGTTTTGATGAAGGACAACCTTTGTAGTTAATCATCAAATTTTAATCATGGGCCCAGTTCTTGTAAAGCAGTCTAATTGGTTTTTGGCGATTTAACTAATGAAGGTAAGCCACAGCCCTTTATGAGAAGGTATATAAAATGTGTTTTTATTTTAGTCAGTCAAACTTGACATTGAGAAAAAATATGATAATGAGGTAATCGAAAGTGCAAAAGTCGCGGTGCTTCAACTCCACTCATTGAAGCTTAACATTGTTCGCCCTTTGTTATCTACAAGTACTGGTCAGATCATTGGCTTTGCTTTTTCTCACATTATTTAATTTAGAACAAACGCCAAACAATGACCATCCAGGTGAAAGAGATGTTCAACTGTGCGTTGTAAAAAAAAAAATCAAATCAGTAATAGATGTACGTGCTAGTGAGAAGCTCGTCATCTGTAAACGTCACAGCTCTATGTTCTAATAAAGACAAATGGGTTGGTTTATTGTGAATTATTACTTGTAATTGAAACCTTAGGTTCGAAGTGACGGGTGGTTGTTAATTGTACCTATTAACACCTAATCATATTCCGCTGACTGCACATTTGTAATTCTGAAAACTTGCTTTGATTAACCTTACCTTGTCTCTATTTTGCATGTGTAGCATACAATTAGGTCTTTTATACATTGCCATGCTCCATGTGTTTTACTATAAAGAACACTGAATGCAATTACCGGATGTTACTGTTCCTGGGTCTTAGACCGCACGTTAGTGAAGAATTAATGGAATGAATAAATGTCAAAAATGGTTATTTAAAACGAGGATGACAAAAAATTGAACAAGACCAACTGTAAATGGCGGTCGTTATTGGATTCGTTTCGTTAGGCGCACTAAACGGAGATGAGGGTCTCCATCATTTCCTTAAAGCACATCCAAGAAAATGAAGGCAGGCTAATCACCATTTTATTACAAAAAGCTGCTTTTGAATCTTCCTTGAATCAAGGTTATAAAAAAGGTATCGATACAGTAAATGGTCTTTAGAAGAAACGTCATCATCCTGTAACATTAGCCGTGTTTGATCAATTGCCCGAGGTGGCCATACTGTTGTATATTTGGATTGTAACCGGCGTGAAATGCATAACCTTTCAAAAAAAAAAAAAAAAAAAAAAAAAAAAAAAAAAAAAAAAAAAAAAAAAAAAAAAAAAAAAAAAAACACATCTCTCAATCGGTGCCTGTTTTGTACACGATTTTATTAACTGGGTGCTGCAGTCAGTGGAATGAGTTTAAACACCTTCGCCAAACGAGGGGCTTCAGATATAAAAAGTAGTTGATGATGTTAAAGATCAAGTACATTGTTATGTAATAATAAAATGATAATAATAATAACTAGGGTCAGAGGACCGATTTTATTTGCTGTAGGGTTCCTTTGTAAGTTTTTCTTTAATTTTAAGATGTCAGTAAGACCACGAATGTTTGCTTAGATTATACGTACTGGTACATGTACTGAATTTCCACCTCATACAAGATATGTAACATATGCGACATGTTGTACTAGGTTTACACACCGTATATCTGCAATAAGAAACATGTAAGATAGCGTAAGTAGTGTAGTGGCTCGGAGTCTTCGCACTATTTTCTGGGTCAATTATTGGAAAGGTCAAGCACAAGAGCGGTATCAAGTTGGTCGCAATAGCGTAGGTACAATACCTCGATTTAAGTTCTATCAGACCGGTAAATGGCACGATATACATTTTTGTCTTATATCGCATATACAGTGAAAATATATATCGCATGTTGGTGTGATGCGACATGTGGACCTGAATGTGTCGGCCTTTTGCATTCAACAGGCTGCGTACGTGTACCAAACAAGAATTATGCATTGTTACATGAATGTAATCAGTCATGTCTGTATATGAATAACAAATAGACGAGGCATTTCGAAATAGAAAGTAATAAATGAAACTTGGATTGCTGCCTGGATGTGTCTATATGGTGATTAGACATAGCATTCAGAATTCATGACAGTCGAATCTCAAGATTTCTAAACAAACCTGCACCGTAACCTTTCGTTTCTTATTCCCTTTTTCTTAGTAAATTTACAGAGAAAAGTCTAGGCCTCATGTTAAAATCTGGCAATTTTTCCTGGATACAGTGGATATACGCAAATAAAAAGCAACGCATTGGAAGTTAAGTGCGCAATCCACATTTCTAAGAGTCTCTCAAAGAGATCAGTTCAGAGGCTTTACATGCATATATAATCGCGTTCCCTTGGTGCAGGCTGATATGTCTTCATCCAATCTGTCACCCTCCCAGTAGCAATAGCTGACCCCACAGGGAAAGACTGTAGATACCTTTTACGTTCGGTCAGTGGGTGATGATAAAATGAACCTAGACCTACAATTACATGGATGTACTACCTTTGACATACTCTACAAAATACCATGTCGACCGATTGCGCAGTATTTATTTAAAATATAGCACATAACTGTACACTTTGATGGGTGCACGGCATGATAAGCCCAGATTTATACCCAGAAACATTTATTTGAATGCAATTTTATTGCATGGAGTACCTCTTGCTGTTATTATATGAATATAATCATAATAGTAAAGGTACCTTGACACCTGTTTTCAATGTTGTTTAAGGCATGAATATATATGAGACATTCAAGATTTATTTGCTTTTCCCCAAAGTATAGTATTATATGAAATTAATTTTTCACTTTGCATAGCGCAATTAAATCTGGATTAAACCAAACCTGATGAACTATTTGCGAAAGTACCATTTAAATAGAATGAGGATACAAGACAAAATAATAAAAGAAGTAATACCCGGCGTAATTCCAAATGGAAGCAAAGAATTTGTTAAAACACTAATGTGCAATATTTTTCTTCATTTGAAGACAAGTACTAGCTGAAGCATGGGTAATCCTTTATACATTTATTGTTTTAAATAAGTCAAGTACCGGATGTGTTACTATGATTTGGGTATAATCCCTTTTTTTGGACTAAAATGATATCGTTGTGATAGATTTATTTACTTCCTAAAAGGGCCCGATAGACTTGAATTTAAGATTGTTTTGATAGAAATTTTCCACGCCCAGTTGTATTCACCCCCACACATGTGAATATCAACACATGTAGAAGTTAGGTACTTATAAGCGATCAGTCAAATATTTGCAACTAATATTGCTAAAGGGCGCACATGTAACATAAACCAAACCACAATCAGAAGTAAATTCAATATTTCCGCATGTTCTCCTCGACAAGACCGTTTGACCTTTGTTCCCACTCACTTTTTTTTTCATTTTTTCACCTTCATAAGCAGGTAGCACCATGTCTTATAGTCACTTTGAGTAATGCTTTGAGTCATTACTTAGCTATTCGCCCATAATGGATATATAACACATAAACAGTACCTTTTCCACAGCACAGATATCACTTTCATATGCTTCCTTAGATCACTTAATTAGACGAAAGATTCCTTGATCACGGGACGGATATCACTTATAGGTAACTAATGATATCTTCCAGTATGCGAGGTAGAGTTATTGTGCAACGTTTATCAACCATTTGATTGATGGCAATTTGATTAACAGTTACCAAGGGAAGGTCTGCCTGTTCCAGTAAACCGAGTTATTGCAAATTGTATTCTGAGAAGTACTAACAACGAGTGCGTTTTATGAAGAATCGCACGCTAAACAGCTCCCTCACTATAATCCCCACACAAAGGCCCGTTTAATTGCATTTCACATTGTCTTTGAACCAAGGTAAGACAATCCTTATATCTTCTATGGCTTCTTAATTCAACGTAAACTGCATTCGAATGTTCGTTATGAAGAAAAAAAGGGAAATTGGGTGACGTTAAAGAAGCGGTGAGGAAGCAATATTGGAAATATATCTGATAAATTACATTATGTTTAAAGATATTTATTTGATAGATTTATTCATTTCAAATGCGTTAATATAATTTGTGGGCAAGCATTGGATTTTTGAAACACAAGAAAGAGAGAGAGAGAGAGAGAGAGAGAGAGAGAGAGCTGGGCCATCAAAAAACAACTTTTAGAATTACAGATAGAAAATAAATGTCAGAATAAAAGTGGTATGTGATTGCCTTTCAACAAATAGGCCTAAAATCTTATAAATACTTTAAATACTGAAATATAATGGCAACTTATCTACCAAAAAGAAACTATGACTGAATTTTCAGACAATTCAGTATACAGTACAAATGATTTTCTAGAGCCGGATGGTTTTCAATGTCATAAACAGTACCATGCTGATAAAATAAACACATTCTAGAAATATAAATAATAAACATAAGTCTGCCATTACACTGAAGCGCCACTATGGTGCTCTGCCACACTTTTGCAATGTGCGTTTGTTAGACCTACTAGACACGTCTTGACTGTGAGATTGTGGAGAAAAGCTGAGGACTTAGAATGAGGATAATGTCTGTTTTTGGGTGAAAACACACACTTCTAACAGATGCATTTCGATGACTTCCTCATTAAATTATCTAGTCTCAGAAATTGAGTTAAATTAAACCAACATCCATAATTATAATTAAGTGTTTTACGTCATTAGTTGGAAAACAGTTTATGGTGGCAGACTTTTTTCCAGTTGTACAATGTTTGGACGTTTGGGAAGGTATTTTGTTCCTATTTCTTCATTGATAAGCATTATTTTCTATGAATTAATCCTAAGAATTCGTTTCATTCCAAATGTATGCTGTCGAAAAGAGCTAGATATAATTTTTTCCTTCTATTTAGTCGTTTTATATTTAAAACACAGGTCCAATAATCTTATGCTGTTGCAAAAAGAGAGCCCCAAAGCCACCCAAAACCAAAAGACGACTGGATACGAAACTGATAAATTGAAAGATGACTACTTCCTTGCCATGTCGTTCGATAAAACATATTGAGTTATTAACCTGAGTTGGTAACGATGTTTAACAGTATAGTTTCAGTATGAATGATCCACCGTCGATTTTTCTTACCCTATGTTCATAGCATACATAACACGCCATACTTTCCAAAAAGCCTAATATACTGTACCAAATTGATTTTATTTTATTCATCTATCCATCGTGTAATTTTTCACGAGGTACTTGAGTTGACGTCACAATTTAATCGGCTTCTTTTATTTTCCATTTCATGAACCATTGCAGTCCGTAGGATTGCCTGTTAATTCTGTTTCCAAGTATCACAACTAATGAACTAATTTCAGCAGTTCTACTTGTCAATAAAATCACCACATGGAATGCGTCGAAGCTTTACTATCTCTTTGAGATTATTCAAATGTGCAAGAATGCATTCTGCACAAGAAGAATATAGTTTGTGTTCTACCCATATCGATTAGAAGTAGTTGAAATTAAATTTGTGTGAGAGTTCCTTCCCAGTTCAGTCTATGTGCTTCATTTTCGTTTTGAAGAAAAGCGGAGCAAGGCGCTGTGGAGCAATCCATTTCGAGTCGAATTTTTCTTCCCCACAATCCTCAGTTTATCTAAAAACCCGTACCAGAGGGTAGTTCGAGGAATAAACCGGAAATAACGGGAGTAAAGAAGGTGAATAATATTCACTCAACCTGCCATAATTCTCTGACTAGAAATAATAAGGCTAATGAAGTTTTCATTCGCTTGAATTATTGAAATTAAAACACAGAATTGCTCAGTTATAAATTGGAGTTTTCCCTGAGCTGTCTACAAAGTAATGGCTGGTCATTGAACTGACTTATTCTCTTGCACAGACTTTAAAGAATTACTAACTAGAAATCACGGTGAGTAAACGCTACAACCAGACACCAATTAAGCCGTAGGCCTATTTATATACAGGTCTTTCGATTATCGTAAATCATTTATATTAATAAAATCAAGCAGTCAACCTGTAATGTCTACTAACCTTAGTAAGAAGATATACAAATTATTTGTTTGTCAGTCGTGGAGAATCTGGACGTGGCCAGTATCAGAGCAATGAAGTGTCTAATTTTTTTCTCCTGTTAAAGTTTTATCTCATGGCAACGCAAAAATACAATTACACATTGTAACGGTCAAAACAAACTCCAACCGATGGCCTCACGTGCAACCCAGTTCAGCCAGCTGTATTTTGGCAGTTTTATTGATAGCCCAAATTTATCGCTTTGAAACGGACAGTACTAGTAAATCTATGACATTAGTCAAGTAAGGAACTCGGGTATCTGTACGATAATTTCCTGACATTTGCAGCCCACTGCCAGAAAGGTGCAATTAAAAGTTGACAGATATATGAGGGCGTAGAAGCGATACATTACAGGTGTTTGGTAGGGACATTTCGTCCATGCAGCCTCATCAACTTTATAACAGAAAGGTTTTATATGTGCATGGATTCCCTGCAAAGAACCAGTCCTCAAATTCTGTGTTGCCATGAAGATAGTCTATATGCAGGTCGAAACCCTAACCTGACATTTTGATTTTTCGCATTATTGACAAACAACAATTACATAATGGCAACCGCTTTTTCGAAATACATGGTTTTTTCCCGTTGATCCTTTCAAATTTTTTGTTGTACAGATAAGAGGAATTCAAAACATGTGCATGAGACCTTGATATAGCCTAATGCTGCCTGGTTATCTTTTGCGTCAGTCATACAGGTATGAAGTCAGTGCTCCGTGAATGACTACTGCCACCATAATTGCCGAACCACAATACAAGGACAGCGATCAATGGCTTATCTGGTCATAACAGGTGATTCGAATTTTTTTCGAAACATATGCGTGGGTTTCGTTGCTAATGGACATACACTCTGCGGCGTTTTATCAGCTAGATCTTTTCTAAGACAGTTTAAAAGTATGGAAAACGAAAATACTCTCTCGAGCAATTTAAACTTTTAAATGTAGGCCAAGTCGAATGATGACTAACAGCTGCATGGAATCGTTAGCCACGCTACAATTGTCACGATTATAAAGTATCGAGAACAGGCTTGCGCTTCCGTGTAGTGCTTGATGTTACTTCGAAACTAGGTAGCTAATAATTACGTGCAGTCCCTATGAACAAACCTTAACTAAATTATATGTGTTATCATTTGTTTCATCACATTTAAGTTGAATGGTTCCAGATGGGAGAAAATCAAATTGATATGTCGAATGAAACCAAAGATAATTTAAAAGAGCCTCAAAGGGTCTCCGATATTCAGTCTGTGAAAAAACAGTTTGTAGCTAAATGTCTGTAAAGGATCATTGTACACAGGGCACAACCTGGATATATCTCTTGCTTGAAGTTAACTATAGGCCTACCTTTTTTATACCTGTTCTTAAGTACGATTTCATTTTTCTTCAATGCGTTTTACTTAATGAAATATGTTCCAGTTATCACCAGCCCTCTCTCTCTCTCTCTCTCTCTCTCTCTCTCTCTCACACACACACACACACACACACACACTCGTGCTTCCCATGATATAATTACTTAGGTACCCCAGCCTCCTGCTTTGGTCAAAGAACCAAAATGTTTATTTTGAGTTTGTACATTATTTGCAGTGCTGCGACCCTTATCAGCAATTTTTTCAGCTCCCTGCAGGGACTGCTTCTCGAAAGGGGTGATAATTGGCACGCCGAGGCTGGAAATGGCCAACAGGTATTGAAGATCCTTGTTTGTATGTCATTCAGCGACGATTTATTTACGTGTTCTCTTTTTTTCAGGATGAAGTAAACCAGGTACTAACAACAAACGTCTGGTTAGAGCAGGTAAGAATTTACGTATTTTATAACTTAGGAAAAGTAACATCAATTTAACGGTGTACACTGTATGTGCTTGCATGTATCAGATACTTAAAACTTCTTTGAGGATTGGCGTTAGGGTGGCAGGCAAGAATTTATGTATGTAACTTGTATCGATATCAAATTAATGACTGCTTTATACAAGGTGGTATGTGGCACATAACAGACGCCTAAATAAACGCTTTAACCTGGGGTTAGAATATTCCCGGGTTACATTCAGGTCTTCAAAACGGAATTAACAGAAACTGAGAATCGACAGAGAGCTGATTACAGTATGAAGTAAAATAGGTACGTTGCACATAGTCTCCATCTTTCAGAGGATGTAAGCACCCCTTGAGACGAGTGTCTTCTGTAAAACTAAATATTTTCAAAAAAAGTTCGATCCGAAAAAAAGGGCATGACTACGCACTTTGTTACTTTGGCATCAAATCTAATTTATACAAATGCTGCATAGTCCTCTGAGAAAACTGAACGTAAAATGCGCACTTTGCCTCAGCCGTGCCATAAAACATAGCGAGTCCTGAAGAGAGGCGAAATGTCATATTATACCACTACGGCTGCAAATCAGCATGCTCCTAGTTCAACTTTCAAATAGCTTTTTGATCTATTGATTTGAATAACCCTAAGAGACAGCTTAAAACAAGAAATTGTTATTTTTATTAATATGCCATATGTCAATCAATAATATAAGCCCAATTCCTTCGTGTCCTCGTAGGGAATTCCAAACAACGGTCTACTTCTCTGACAACATTTGGACTTGTTTTCGGCTAGCTTTGGTGGCCATAAGTATTCAGTTATTCAAAAGTTACATATCTCTCATTTGATTTGATATAATTCTTATGTGGTACCTAACGCTAAAACTCAATATTCAAGCGTCTGAAGCATATATTATAATGGTTATTGTGACAAAGCACGTAGCTCGTTTGATGTCGTAGTTCTCAAAACTACCGTTGTCATCCATAGTCGTTTTGGAAGAATAATAATTTTTATTCCATTCCCCTAAGAACACAGATGTAGTTGCTAAATGGATCAGAAATCTGATATATGGCCACATCCAACAATGGGTTTTAGAAGAAATACCGTTTTGGGAATTGCACCAGGAAGTAGACGTTTTCAGTGCAAGAAAGTTACGTTGGTGTGTCATGTTATTCCTTCAATAATTTTATCATTTTATTTTTATGTGCAGGAATTAATATATATTTGAGAATTGAGGATTGAAGTACCAGTCATATTTATCCTTTGATACATGCTCTCTCTGATTAATATAAGAAGTGGTAGGCCAATTAAACTGACCTGTATGACTAAAGAGTTAGAAGTCATAACCCGTTGCTTTTTCCCATTACGTAACCTGTTGTCCTTGACATTATCTTTTAATTACTAAATGTTGGAGTCACTCTTCTTCCATCATATTTTGCTTTAGACATTTTATTAGGCATGTCGTGACTTGATTTTATCTATTTGACAATGGCTTTTATTTCGAACTAATAGAACCCAAAATTCGAACATACTGGTTTGGTTTCATATGGGGCATGGTAGAGGATTACCCTCTACCAGGGCGACTGATAGATTTTTACGGATATTCACAGATATGTCTCTAGCTAGATGGATTGTCATTTTCAGCTAAAAATCTATCAGTCGCCCTGGTAGAGGGTAGTAGAGGATGTGCGCGAAGGATTTACTTAGTTAAGACCAACGCTTCACTTTCATTTTAATACCACTTTTTTCGTGCAACATTGAGCTATATGAAATTGTGTGTGACATCTGGAAAAGCTTATTACAAACAGGTGAAAATAATTGCTGTGAACTGTTGAACTGCACAATTCTTGTAAATTGTGTGACAGATTGAAACCAAAAACAGGTTCTCAGATCTGCGTAAGTGGGCCTTAGGTCATTGGCGGAATATATTTTGTTGTCATTCTGGGTGTTTTGAGTACTTTGTTCCCTTCATATTTACCAGCAAAAGCACGATTTACAGATTCATCATACCATTCCATAGCCGCAATAAGTCCATGTTCATTACAATTCAAAGTATCTTTGTTATATCTCCCGTGTTAGCATGCAACTACGTCTACCTCTACATAGGATCAATACTTGCCATCTTTTTATTGTGATACTGATTTTAATCCTCCATGTGTCATATACTAGATCGAAACCTCAATTATTTGAATTTGAATCGGAATTAACATGCCCGAATGATAAAAGCTCACATATGGATAGCTAGGAGACATACAATGTCATTGCGAACTATGATTGATGGGAAATATGAATGTCTCCAAATCTCAAATTAATGCTTTTTAGCAGTGCATCAGTGGAGAACATACGACAAGTTTGATATAATACACAAGGTAGTGGCTTTAAAGAAAGAAGAGTATATAAGAAACTTTCAAGCGAAGCGGCATTTTTGGCAAATTGTCAATTTGTTACTGTTGCTGTGGCATTTACTTTAATAAATTCAGGTAATGTTTCATATTAATATACCATTTTTTAGCTTTCTTAAGTTGTCAAAGGAGAAGAGGAATGGTTTGCCGTACGTCTGAATAGCACCCATCTTCCTTTCGATATATAAGATGAAAATTGTCGCTGTGTTGTCCTAATATAATATTCTTGTCTGTTTGCTGGGTCAGCTCCTTTCACCGCTTGGAATATCTTAGACTTGCCATGGATACTATTATCTGTGGTAGGTAATATACGTACATCTTCCATGTTTCCATTTAAGCATGAGATGTCGGCAGAGGTAAACATTTAAATAAAACTGTCCCGAAATACAGACCGTGGTATTCATGTACCAGTGTTTACATTTGGCTTACAGGTGTTTCTGCATAAAGCCTGTTTCTTGGCCAATATGACATATCGGGTAGAGATCTGACTGCTACTTCTACCATCGATTTGCCTGGAAATAATTTTGACTAGCTGGTATTTTTCAAAGCGTTCTTCGTCATTGATAACGACGTGTTTGGCCAAAAGATTTAGGGCTACACAACAAAATTGAATAATTTGTTTAGTTGACACAGGTGAGGAATGCGAAAGAGGCTCTGGCTCTGAGGACACCAATGGCCCCTGTTGCCACCATGCTTTCAAAAGGCAGCATATTTCTGCATTCAACATTTTGACAAACAACGACCGTTATTTCCAAATTGCGTAACAACTTTACCCCTTAACACTGAAATGGTGCGTTGCATTGTATTTGAAGCTTGGAGAAATTAATGGGCTGTTTAACAAGGTACAGAGGTATATTTCTGCGCGAAGAGAGAGAAAAAATGCATTTTGGTATCTGTATTACTCTTTCTTAAGCATGGGAATTTGAAATACAGCTCAAAGGAACGTTTTTTTTTGTTTTTTTGAGTTTCCTTGTCAGTGTTATGTTCAGCGGGCAGGGGTGTAAGAATACGGCTTCACAGTTTATATATTGTTCAACATGTCCATCTGTGCACCAGAACATGTTAGGAATGTACGTATTGGCATTATCTAATATGAGAGATAGTATTTAGTGAAATTCTATACATTCTGGATGTTTGTCCATTGACAAAGCTGGTAACTGAAATATAAAGAAAAATGGGGACCTTGCACATCTCAAAAATAAAAAAATGTTATACTTTAAGGCATATATTTAAATAGATACGTACTGGTGCACCACAAAGAATAAAATGATTTACAGTGAATTTATAATTAGAAAATGGAGGAATAATCTACGTTCAAATCCGATCCACACAACACTACATCTCTCATGTTTCTTTAAAATATAATCGGCTCGTTGGAATTAGGTTCGCTCACCTAGGTTTCCAAAGAGTTTTCTCTGAAACTGCTGAACTTTCATTGGCAAAACTATGAACTTGTTAAGACCTAGGAAGACATGTTACCGCCTCAAGATATACCCAGATTACCAGTTAAGTTAATAATGGCTGTCAACACTTCCCCACGTCCGTTCTATCACGGGATAAGCGACGCGGGAAACAAATAATTCAACTGTATCATTGGTTAAGGTTCACTGGGGTTTCAGTTTGATGTTTGTACATCAACCAACAGATAAACGGTTCGATCTTTTCATTTGGACTCTAAAAAAATAATAAATTCTTTTCCAATCTCATTCGTACATTTATAAAGTCATGCACCCAGCGGGCAAACTTCCATTAGATTTACATTTAATGTGGCTTTTTGATCAACTTTGACGTGTCACAAAACAATGATATTGGCATCGCTGCTTTTTTGCTACTGAGAATAATAACCCTAATCGCAGTATCAACAGCACAGTTGTCAGAGTTTTAAAAAAGCATTGCGCGGTTTAATTACCATTTGCCACCTTATCGCTCAATACAAATTTGTTCAGACTGCAAACTCTGCTTCCTACACTCAACTACTGTCTACTGGAAGTCTTAACTCTAAAATCAACAGATAGACGAAGAATGTTGTCTCTCCTACTAAGCAGAATAATCCGTGCTATCATCAATCTGGCCAAGGTCCATTTTCTAGTCAGCATTGAACAGATCTGAAGCGATTGATAAGACTTCTTTTTTTTTTCATTATGCCCTGTTTTAAGAAAATGGCGCAAACCGGATTCAGCCACGCAAATTAATGACACCACTCCTCTAGAGGGGTACATGTACATGCGAAACATGTTGAAAGAACAGTGATTCATTTGAAACAGTTCACTTATTTATTTCAACGTAACATTTTCAATAGATAAGCAGCTTTTAAACCCTCGAAGGTACCCTGCTTAAAAACCACACGCTGTGATCTTTAAACGTGCAGCATTACATGACCCTGCTGCCGAAAGGTCGGACGCGGTCATCACATTCTTCATCATTATATCAAACATGTTTTTATATGTGACTTCCAAACCCTGTCTCTCCAAACCTTGACATTTTCAAAGTAGCTATATCTTCAAATCATAGACTACTACCAATAATTCCTATATAGGCCTATGTTTTGCAACAAGGTTCCTCCCATCGCCTTAGGTTAGGAAAATAATAGGCATGGGGAGGGGAAAGAGGGAAAGGGCCATGGCTAACGCTTTTTTTTTTTTTTTTTAAATTATTTACTACTTTTCATCTGCCTGTGAACTCCTCATGGCTCTGGTGGCTCTGAAGTCAGGATAAAATTTACATAATTAGATTTGCAAACCAAATCTATCGTAAAAAATTAAGATACTAAAACCAACTGTATCGGTCAGAGAGGGGCACGAGTAAGGGGCGTGAGGAGACTCAACCCGTGGTTAACCCCGTGTCAATTAAAATATCTGGCCTGTTGCTTGCTCTACGTATATAGCGTGGGTTAGGTGGGAAGCAATTGCAGTAACTAAGCAATCTGAGCAGACTTGGTAGAAAGATAAGATGAAAGTTCAGCAGAGTTGGTGACTTGCGGGTCATAGTCTGCTGCTCGAGGATATAGTTCAACTCCCCATGAGATACTGCTTATTTATCAACAGTTCTCTTGGCTGTATGCAAAAGTGAAACAACAAAACCACGTTGAAATGCTTAAGCCTAAACAAGTTGATAAAAACATCTTCTCTTGGCAGCTTTATTTTTTCAAAGATTAAGGGATCGCACAAGGTTTTGTTCAAGTGTGATTGCCAATGAGGGCTGTTATGTGCCTGGTTTGGTACAACGTATCATGGGATAAGCAAAGTATTTGACTGAAACATGGTGATAAAAAAACGCTTCAACTGTTTTGCCTGAAGTTAAGGAAATAAATCTAAAATTGATCGATCTTTTACAAACTCATACGAGAAAAAAAAACAACGTTTTTTATACATGTGCTAATTATGTGTAGTTTTGTCTCAAATAAAAAAATTCAAGTAGTACTTTCACTGTTGATATTACATGCTTTACAAAATGGCATTGTTATTTTCACAATATAAATGGAATCTTAGCAAACACGTTTCTATGAAATGAAGCTAACGAACCATCTCTCTGAGATGAAATCCTATAAAATATTTGACAAGTGAAGAAACAACGTTTCGTCTGACTAATCTAATTCCTGTTAAAACCGTGACCTGGCTTTTGAGTCGATAGTTAAGCCGTTGGAACTGGAAGCGGGATTATAGCTAAACCTGGGGTTTTACATAGAAATAACATTGTTAAAAAAACCTGACACCGTCCATATAGATCAAATGCTGCATGCACATACAGTATAATCGATTGCTTTGTCTACTGACGCTGAAACAAAAACAATCTAAAACGATGTCCTTAAGCAAAAAAAAAAAAAAAAAAAAAAAAAAAAANAGAAACAACGTTTCGTCTGACTAATCTAATTCCTGTTAAAACCGTGACCTGGCTTTTGAGTCGATAGTTAAGCCGTTGGAACTGGAAGCGGGATTATAGCTAAACCTGGGGTTTTACATAGAAATAACATTGTTAAAAAAACCTGACACCGTCCATATAGATCAAATGCTGCATGCACATACAGTATAATCGATTGCTTTGTCTACTGACGCTGAAACAAAAACAATCTAAAACGATGTCCTTAAGCAAAAAAAAAAAAAAAAAAAATGGGTCCCTGAATTTTTCTCACACTTCACCTTCCGTTTTTTATTGTATTTTTCTATTCTGCACTTTTGTTTGAAATGCACATATTCAGAATAAATAATGTATATGTTGATATTACTATTGATTGTCATATTGTCGAGCTGTTTACTTTCAGGAATGGGTTGATGAACGTCTAAAGTGGAACCCAGCAGACTACAATAACCTGGTAGTCATGCGGATGCCATGCGAAAAGATATGGCTTCCAGATATAGTTTTATACAACAGGTAAATGTAACGGTTAACCTATTTGTTAGAAAAACATGATCGGACGATGTGTGCGTGTGAAAAAACCTTAACTTTGAATGTCTCAACAAAAATCAAACGAATTATCAACGGTAGCGTCTGGTCAAATGTGTGTCGGTTAATATTTTTAGCAGTTAACACAATCACTGTTTGAACTTTTATATTTTAAAAACATCAGAGTACAAAAGCAACCCTGATTAGCATGAATGCATTTCTCATTTGGAAGCTTGGAACCAGATTAAAATGTTAGGAATAAAATAATAATAATGAATAAAATGTTAAGCACTTTAAATCATTTTGTTAAATTAACTTTTTGGTCCACCAATTTTTACATTTATTATTATTATTATTAATGTTATTGTTGTTGTTGTAAGCAGTTTTAGTAAACCTACACCCTGGTTTATTTCAGTGCGGACGACTATACTGCTGGTTATATGCAAAGTAAAGCCATGGTTGATCACAACGGCACAGTCTTCTGGCCTCCGCCAGCTAAATTCCGGAGCTCATGCAAAATAGACATCACTTTTTTCCCGTTTGACGATCAAGTTTGTAAAATGAAATTTGGCTCATGGGCTTACGATGGGTTTCAACTGAATATGACCAGCAGGAATGAGAAGGTCGACATGTCAAACTATGTGTTTAGCGGGGAGTGGGACCTTTTAAGCATTGACATTGTCCGCAATGAGAAATTCTATGGATGCTGTCCAGAACCGTACCCAGACGTCACTTTCTATCTTCGTATACGAAGAAGGACGCTTTATTACCTCATCAATGTTATTTTCCCTTGTCTGTGGCTTTCCATACTCAGTTTGCTCGGGTTTTGGTTGCCCCCGGACTCGGGAGAAAAAATAACACTGGGAATCACAGTACTGCTAGCCTTCTCCGTCTTTATGTTGCTCATAGCTGAAAACATGCCAGCCACGTCAGATTTTGTTCCATTAATTGGTAAGATGGAAGATTACATTATCATTTAGATATATTTTTCTTGTGATGAAATAAAGACCTTCTTACTATAAGATGCAACCTACCGTGCATTGTTTCAATTCACAGTGTATTTGACCTGGAAATAACTAACTCAGTTCGTTATAATTATTTTCAGTCGCCAAGATCAGAAACAGAATTAAACCCACCAGTCTCCATTAAAGCGAATACTTCAGGGCATACATATTCTCAAGGGTTTAATGCAGCATGTAAAAAGATGCAATTAATTTTACATTCTCAAACCGCCATGCAGCTGGGACAGTTTTTATATAATTTCCCCCTTTTTGTACTTTCAGGCATATATCTTACCATGACAATGGCCATGACATCTTTGTCTATAGTTTTGACAGTGTTTGTTCTGCAGCTTCACCATGCTAGTCCTAATCAGAAACCTGTGCCAGAATGGGTGAAAAGAATTGTGTTTGGTGTGCTCGCTAGGATTACTGGAATGCGAGGCGCAATAACAACCACTGGACCGTACCATCTGCACGACGATATTGTTAAGGATGATGTTTGCCTTACAACTTTTTTAGAAAACGACAACAATGAAAATGCCACGTGTAATGGTGGGTTCCAGATTCAAGTTGACAGCGTTCATCATAACAATGCCAGCCAAGATCGTTTAAATCGTACCCACAGCATGAGAGGGAGCCTACGGCACCTTCACAACAATCACAATTCAGAAAATAAAGGGATGACATACGATAAAATCTCAAAACATCTCAAATTGTTAGTACAGAAGCAAGACTTCGAAGACCAGTACTTGGAAATTGTAAACGAATGGAGACTTGTAGCTTGTGTGATTGACCGCTTCTTATTTTGGACCTTTCTATTAATAACCACTGTGTCCACATTGACAATTCTGGTAATAGTGCCCATTGTGAAAAATTCAAGCTTTTGATTATTTAGAACGGATCACTGAGTTCAAAATACCTCTTGTAGGGCAAGAGATCCATTGCGCTTCGTGAAGTGGACGCAGAGTGGAGCTGCAAGAATGAGCCTTCCAACACCAAGTGGCCTTTGCTTTCAAATTGGGCGCTCAAAGCGTCAGAATGTAAGTGTAGGACTGACCACGCCCACGTCGTTCCAAACGATCAGGTTGCTTGGTTGGATTAAAGTTGTCCAGTCATTGCACGGACCTCCTTGAAGATTGAATAAGATTTATCTTTTTCTGTGACAGTTTTTACTGAAAACATCACCTATAAAGTGTGCATCGCTAAATACCAATAAAGATGACAAAGAAAGGACGATATTTACCCATCTGACGTAAAAGCTATTCAACATATTCATTAACGACTGTATCATAAAACAAGGGTAACGAATAACCTGAATCACTTCGTGCATTTTTAATTTAATTACAAACACCGACTTAATTTGTTGTAAAGTGTCTATGCAATTCTAACCCTTTCTGTGACAGGATGGTCATGTGGAGAACGGGAATTTAAGTGTCAGAACATTTTACTGCATACAAAGTCAAATGTCTTCCTATCAGAATGACAGTTACATGTTCTGCTGTAAAAACTTGAAAATTTTGATGAACAGCAAAGGATATCAGACTTGTATTGCTACGATAAGAGTATTCACGTCCCAGGTGCTAGCTGTAGAGTATCACAAGATTCAAGCAAGCTTTATTTTATCCACTTTTGCCAGCAATAGCACAACAACAACAACAACTAAATACAATTTTAATGTATCAGATAATATATAATTATCTTACTCAGTTATGAAAAAAAAAATGCATATCAGTTTGCACTGAACTAGCTAGTTGATGAAAGTTCTAAGAGGATTCAGTTTCTTTGAGGTGTTTTGCACCTCTGATAAAGATGATAAAAACAGTTCTTCTTTACATAATCCAGCATTAACAGAGCTACCCATGAAAGATTTTGCCACACTTCAAAGCATAGTATACAGGTTTGACATTAAAGTAATCGATTTTAATTTTTCTCAAAGAATCTCATGGTTTGTTGCACTTTTTCCATACTCTGCAATTGCTAGGGTATTTATCCTAAACAATGATGCAAAGACTGGATGTAATAATTCACTCTATTTATAGCCATGTAAGGAAAATGTGGCCATTAAACATCTTGTATAGTTTTTTTTCCTTTTCTTGTTTGAATGAAAGACAGTAAGTGCTAGAAAATTGTTGGTGGCCATGAGTATGTAAATAGCATTCTTTTGTGAAAACCACATGCTGTTTGTTTGAAATGTCTTTTTGAAAAACAAGAACTTACAGGGCTACATAATGCATTACAAAGCCTGACTGATAAAGTTGAAATTTGTTATCTTAGAAGTCTAATCCATTCATGGACTTTATTTTTTAGATTTCATTTATATATATATGTAACTGGCCTTGACAGGATTCATGGTCAATTGGTAAGCTGGAAGACTCCAATGTCCAATGCACTTATAACATGAGTAAAGAAGGTTGTAAAAATGTACATAAAACAGGATTTTCTTTAGAAATAGTTTTTGAATATATTCAACTATTTTGGGGCTTCAATTTGTCTTAGAGATTGCAAAACAAATATCAAATTTTCAAAAACAGATGAATCTATTATCCTTACAAATTAGTCCAAATGTGTAAAGGACATTATGTTAGAAGATTATTACTTAATCATAACCACACCCATGATAACTTTAGTTTGACATTTGTATTGGCTTTTGGATCTAGAGTTGAGAAGCCTGCAAAATGTTCAACTTTTATTTCATTTGGTTCTATGAACTTTTCAGGTTTGTCATAGACACGGAGGGCATTTGTCACAATAAGTGAAATGCCCAGCTTATTGTGTTGTTTTTTAAAAATTGTATTCTTGTACAGGTGTATATCTCTATTTTGAAGAGTTTTGTCTGGGTTTAACCGTGGCAAAATGTGTTTTCATGTTATCTTGGTCTTCCATATTCACAGACTGTGTGTTTAATACATTGTCAGTTTAAAAGGAGAGTGGTAGAGGTGATTTGAATTTTACTTTTGCTGTAGTGGCAGTAACACTTGTTTGCCAAGCATGGCAGGGTATAAGAGCTATTAACCTTATTTGACTTGGCATTATTTTTGTGAAATAACATGCTAGTTTGAGCCCAGAATTTTTTACCAGTAGCTTTTAAGTCTTTTAAGACATAAAACATGATTAAGTTAATTATGTTATAATTATGTCATAATTATGTTCAAACATAATTCAGGGTCAAAAAGGTAGCTGGTTCACAAGACAGAAATGTATCAGTCTGCCAATGGTTTTACAATTTTACTGCCACATTTTAATTTGTGTTCTTGTATGTTAGACACAGCTGTAAGCTTAAGGTTTTTTTTTTTATATTTTTCCTTTCTTTGTTAGAAAAACTAAAAAAATTACTTAATTGGAGCCATGTTTTGGATTTGAGAGGTTTCCACTAATGCCTCAAATTCTGACATGTAAAAAACTACTCTTTAAAGAAATAACCCAATTTTTAAACTGCTTTTCAAACAGAACCACATTTGTGCTTCTTCAAGATCAAATGTATATTTCTACATATACATAATTACATAATGTTACTTGGCATTTTATCCAATAAAACAGCTGCTTTTTTAAGTTAATTTTTCTGTTGTCTTATTTCATTGTGGACTATTGTTTCATAAATACCAAATAAAAATAACAAAACAATACCTCAATCCACATTTTCATAGTAAAGCAGATTTTAAGTGTAATTTTAACCAAAATAATGAATTGATATTGGTACAGCTTATTAAATTGTACATACACATGAAGTATCAGGAATCTACAACATTAACAGTTTTGGATTTCTTTGACACAGAGGATACTGTGTCTTCAAACTGAAAGTCTGTGTCTTTCTCATGTAAACGCTTTCTAAATGAACTTTCACTAACATTGCCAGTCCTCCTGTCCTCTTTAAGGCCATTGCAATCAGATTTATCTGATTCATCAGGCATCAGTTCAGAAGTAGTCTGTAAACTGTTCTTCTGACTTTCTGTACTAGACTGAAGTTTCTGAGAAATGTCTACTACAGGAGTGACCTTCATAACTGCTGTTCCCCTGATAGTCTTCCTCGCTTCTACAAAAAATAAGTGAACATAGCATTGCTACAAACAAGGTAATTTTGATTTGTTTCTTATGAAAATTTTATGGTGTATGAGGAAACTTTTAACACATAATGAATATTTTTTGTTGCTAAATTTCAGTCTGTCAAACCCCTATTTTTCACTGCAAAGAAATGAAGTAAAAGAATATCACCCAAAACCAATAGAGTTCAGTGTTAAAGTGATGAACACCTACAGTGAACGTCAAATTAAAAGAAAGACACTGGTCTTACCTGCATGAAGGAGGACAGCTCTGCACCGTGAGGAGACTGCTTCCTTGGCTTGGGCTTCATTTAATCCAAACAAAATACCTCTAAAATCTCTGGTTAAGATTAACATATGCTTCACAGGAAATATACATATATATAATATATGTCAATTTGGATAAAAAATATGTTTAAATAAACCTAAAATGAATACTGGATTAATATATAAAATATAAAAATAAAAAGTCTATCATCTGAAAAATTATTCATGTTCTTTTTTTCATTCTTAATCCCTAATCATCCTATTATAGTATCACTATAGTACTCATCACTGTGAAGGATACAGATTTGCCACATCACTTGGTCCCCTGAGCTCCACAGCCTGTAATTTGAATGGAGTAGATTGTGTAATCTTAAAACATCTTACTTGATTAAATCTATTTCTATACTGAATAAAGTATAATATAGCTGTTGTATTTAAAAAATCTATAAAACAATCTGAGCAGTCATGGGGAAATAACAACTGTTACAACGAACCAGATGAAAAGTATGTAAGACATTTTCCCATGAAATAAAAAGTGTACGACTGATACCAAAATGTACATACACATTTTTGCCTTTTTACAAAGTATTAAAGACATCTACTCACCCTTTCACATCCACTGCTTAGCACCACATTCTGAAAAGCAAAAAAGTAAGCCATGAAGTCATAAGCCTGACTGCAATGCATAGACCTATGAAACAATGACATTCTGCAGCACCCTCTAAGGCCCTATTCCCACAGACACCATCAGTCTACACAGATCGATCTAACTTCGCATGGACTCTCTGAGTGCAATCTGCTTTACTAAATGACACACCTCTTCTTGGTGTTAAGTAGAATAAAGCAGAGCTGGTGATTATATGAGTACATTGGAAACAAGAAGAAGCATGTCATTCAGTTAGGCTGATTGCACTCAGCGTGAGTCTCCAATGCTGTCCATGGGAATGGGGTCTAAGGTTCATGTAGACACATTAGTGACAGGATACTGTTATGTTATCCATTCAACAGATATGGATTGTGTAAAGTTTTAGAACAATGAAACCATTCATTTGATAACCATAGTATTTGGAATATCAGCCTGTAAAAAATTCTCTAAAGCCATGTAAATGGCAAGTTGCTGTAGTGTAATAGTGAAGAAATATTATCTTAGGAGGATTGTTCCCTGTATAGCGATTTCCCCCTTGAGCTTGATAAATTTTCCCTAATACTTTGTTACTGTCAATTGACTCGGTTTGCAGAAAATTGGTTTGTAGCATGTGTAGTATACAATCTCAAGTACAATGGATGTGTAGAATGTATAGTATCCATCACGTACAAAGGTTTGCTTACTGATGGGATACAGGAACCAATATATCTTATTTAAAGCAAATATAAATATCATATGAGTTGGCAGTGAGGATAAGACTACAGGGACAAGCAAAAAGTTCATAACAGTCTATCAAAATCTTTCTTTGGAGTCAACAGAGACTAATTTTATGCATAATGAAATGCACTGATTATCTGCCATGAGTTAAAGAAAAGTACCAAAAATGAAATCGCACTTTATCATCATTTGACAAAACAATAGTTAGCATAAAATATTGTTCAAACTGACCACCCTGAAGCTCACAAACGGCTGTTTCCTGGTTCTTAAAATGCAAGAAACAATAGAACTGTATAATATCATTTTGTATTTCTGGCCATGAAACAAAGCAATGGTAGACATTTGAGGACGCACTGACCTTACAATTATTGACCTACCAATGTTTGGTCTATGAACAACCAAACACAGAATAAATAAATTAAAAAAATATATTTTAACTGGATCCCATGACAACTGGTGAATAAGGTTATTATTTGCAGAATGAACCTTACCTTCCCTTTACATACAGTGAGTATTTTGATGGCATTCCTGATAGAGTGTTTCCTCAGAGTTGGATCTCGTATTGCAGGGGAATACGTAAGCTCAAAATGGATACCCATCTCCAGTGCCTTTAAATAACAGTATATATAAATGATTAGTGACTAATGTTCCTTTAGAGATACATAAGAAGAGAACATAGATACCTTGCAATTCACATAATCTACTTCAACTAGTTTTTTTTATACAACTCCAATAAATTTGACATGCCAAAGGATAAACTAAATTAACTTTTAGACTGCACCTTCTTCAAATTCCTGGTCCTAAACTTGACCCATTTATCCAGTTTGTGAAAGTTCACCAAATGATGTAGTAATGTATGATGTAATGCTGCTGTTTACCCAATAGCATAAATATTCAAATGAGGGTTGGCGAAAACGACCAAGGGTTATATGTGGCACAGAATGAAAACAGATAATATCTGTTCAAATATAATTTTTTCAGGAAGTATGAGACATTATCCTTTGGTACTTCTTTAAGTTATGCTACTTGAAACTACACGATGACATTTGGTCAGGATTAGTTGCAATGATTGACATATCAGCTCACTTCAAACGCATCTTTAAACAGAGCACTAAGTTTAAAAAATTTTTAATGCCACCTGTCATTTCTTCTGTCCATAATAAATTTTACTTAGCATTTAAAAATCATCATGTCAGGGTCTTATTCTTAAATATGAACATTTTAAATGTCAACTCAATTTAAAAGAAAAAAACTTATTCTTCGACTTATCTGAATCTCTCTTCAAAATTTGTCATTCAGTATGATATTTTCATCTATACCTATAATTTTTTACTGAAATCAATTAATACCTCGAAAATATATCTTTTTTAGTACCTTATTTATAGATGGTCTTTTTATTTTGAATGGTATCTTCTCAGTCATATCAAAGGTAATGATGTCCACATCATCAGATGTGCAGCAATTCTAAAGAACAAATAGCACAACAGCACAGTATAGATTTCTCAAACATACATCAATTTAAGTCAAAACATTTTACACAAGTCAATCAATGAATTTTTAGTTCCTAATGATGACAATTCTTTAAAAAGAAAGCAGTTTGTCTCTTTAATTAAAAAAAAATATTGAGACTCCATTCGAGTCCAAAGACTACACATTGCACTTACATGGAATAATTTCTCTGTCGTGGGTTGTACAGCAGTTATATCATAACCTTTGAGCTCCTTCTGCTTGGTCTGCAATTTGAGAAAAAAGTAAATGACTAAAATTTCTCAAAATTAACTGTGTAATGCAGAAAAATATATCATTCTCAAATAGAACTGAATAAAACAGCTGAACTTCACCTTTTTTGACTGCAAAACAGTCAAAGAGCACAACCCCATGGATAAATTCAGCACCTACAATACGTAATTCGTTACTCACTAGACCATGCATCTGTGCAGCATCAGTTATCACTGTGGTAAACCTTGTACACTGCTGGATGTTCTTGTATCTCTAAAAAACAGAAAATTTGGAAATATCACAAATAATGCAGCGTTTGACACTCGCACTCGCCAGCACGCCAAATGCGAGTAAAAATCAAATCTGGCATGTGAAATGTATGATGCAAGTCGCCATTTTGGCGAGTATATTTATGTCAACTTTCTATATTAAGTGTATCGGCAAAATTTAGACTCAATAAAAGTCCGATTGACATGCCAAAATTTAAGGGGAAGTTCAGGGAATTCCCCTAACTGATACTGTTAAAAACTGTTGACAATTGTAACAGGATGAAAAATTTTTGAGTAAATAAATTTCAAGCTCTCATCTCCTGTTTCAAATCCAACACACTATGATATCTTGAAAAACTCTCACTTACTTATCAGCAAATATGAATAATAAATAAATCCTAAATCCTTGTCAACATATGTTTGACAGAAACTGACCTTTTTAAATTCTTTCCATATATGCTCTGGTATCTTTATTTCTGATGCCTCTGGAACAGGTACTGTCTGAAATTATTTCAAAATTTTGAAATCAGACATAAAATAAGTTATGTAACATGCCAAATATTTACTATCAAAAAAAAAAAAAAAAAAAAAAAAGATTATGATGCACAGCATGCAGTCTTTTTGCTAAACCAATTACATAAAAACCTTTTTCCCTACAAGAATTAAACACATAAGGTTGTTGGCAACCCTGACATAACATTTATCATGAAGCCATTTAAAGTGAGCATAAGACTTACATTTATTTGAATCTTAACATACTGTAGATAATAGTGTAGGCATGCACAATGTTGAATTTGAAATGCATCAATATTTTAAATACCTTCTCTTGTCCCTTCTTCTTTTTCTTTGTATAAAATTCAGGTATGAAGTTGTTCATGACAATAACTTCATATCCCACTGGAAAAAATTGAAAAATAATAAAAACTAGATATTACAATGTAAACCAATCAATCAAGCCAAATAGAAGAACAAAGAAATAAGCATGCTTATCTATGGAATTTCTTTATTTCAATGCATATTAAAGAAATTGGTTAAAGTTTTAGTTTAATTGCTTGGTATCCTCCATAAAGTAAATCTGGCAGATAAGAAATTTATGCCTGCTGTAAGTGGATCTGTTCAATCCTAAAAGATCTTGGCTCTCCACAGAGCATACAACCCAAGCTGTGTGGCACTCGAGATAGCATCAAAATGATCAGGACTACCATAACTTGGTATTTACTCCCTGTTTCATCCATTTTATGCAGAGTGCTTAGCAACGAAACAATTTTTATTATTATTATTTTTTTTGGTAAGACCTGTTCACAGGACCTTGATCTAAAGCTGCAAAGGTCAGCATACTACTAGCATACACACTGCTTCGCAACTTAACAGAATGTAATTTAACCTTTTTTCAAGCATGTAAAGATAAAGCCAAATGCACTGGAGGAGAGGGTAGATGGTTGATGATGCAGCACTCATCAAATGCTTTTCAAAATTCCAGTGATAAACGAACAGTGATAAGTGTCCATGTGACACGGAGGGCCGTAATTGATAACTTGCGAGTCATTGAGAAAATATATACTAATTAACCATATATAGATTCATACGAGTACGAATAAAAAAAATAAAACTAACAAGACAATGCCATTTTAACCCTGTCTTCAACATTATTGCCCGAATTTTTATCGCATAAAATGTTTAGCTCGCACGGGTGCGCCATCTTTAATTCAAAGTTCCTTCGATAGACGGCGTTTGGATTATTCCAGTTGTAAAAAAAACTTTCATAACAGTTAATAAAGACACCTAAATATCATATATTATATTTCTCTGAATATCTTTCAACTTCTGTAAATAACTACATTCGGAAAATGCTAATCTCTAAATTTCGAGATGTGAGCATGTGACGTCATATATTTCCCCATCAGTTTTTCCGGTGTACTATTTCTTCCCAAAATATTTACAGATCTCTCAAAATTTTAAAGCAATCATGACATCTGTGGAATCTTCCATGGAGATAAGTGTCGTGGGTGAAGATCAACAAGAGAGAAAGAAGGTAATTCTGAAAATATATAACGTACAATGGGCGTTAGACGGAAGAATTTGTCACTCCGCCATTTTAGGTTTTCTCTGAGACCCATTTGTCTTTTTGCGTTTGCATTTTGGAAAGCTGTTAACACACCCCAGTGTGCATGTCCAATCCAATTTTGGCCTCTTTAGATGTAAAATTAACATGTTTCTTGCACGATTTGTACGAAAATTCTTAATTTTCACATAAGTAACATTTTCATTCATGTTTTATCCCGTAATCAGGCAAATGTTGTTTGTTGATAACAAGGGTAAATTTCCTGACTCAGTGACACTAGAAATTTGAAATTCAGGTTTAACTGTGTATTCAGTAAAAAAAGGCACCCCTATCATGATCTTGAAATTGAATGATTTCTCATTTCAAGCCCTGATAAGTTAAAACTAGATATTACAAAAAAAAAAAAAAAAAAAAAAATGAACTTTCATTTTCACGTTTGTAGTTGTAGCTGAGAGAAAAAGCTTTTACACACACATCAGAAATTGCTAAAGCTGTTATGGTTATCAAGACGGTGGTAGTCAGTCAATTAAGCCAAAATTTGCAATGCTTTCTTTTAATAAACCACTAAACAATTTGCTTCATTTCAACTTCCTTATCCTTCATTAATAGCAAGGAGACTGGCATTCATTCCTTATTTATGTATATGTATATTGTATTTGAAATCATTTGGAAATGTGGTATGTATCCTTTGTTGTGGACTATCAAATTGACAAAATATGTAATCAAGATCTCATTAGGAAAGATAACTGGATTTTAGTAACATGGATTTGAAATGTCATGATAGATAACAAAAGTTGATGTCATAGGGCTCACTCTGGAGTTGATGTCATAGGGCTCACTCTGGATGGCAACTCTTTCTGGACATTTACTGTGTATTTCTCTTGAGTACAAAATAAATTTTATTAGATTAAAGAAAATATAGCATGAATGGATGTTTTTCACTTACACAAGTATGGAATGTTTGTCTGTAACTTCATTCCAAGATTGTATAGGAAACAAAACTGATGAAGATTCAAAATTACATTGTTTGTAGTCGTGCTAGAGATTCATTACAGATAATGATTCATTGTAAATTCAAAATATTACCTAGGACTCAATACCAAAAGAAACTATTGTTCTATGTAGATCTATCCAACTCCACAAGGACTCTTGCTGAATGCAGTCAGATTATAAAGTTAACATGCCTCCTATTGCTTCTCATGTATTCTTATAATCACCAGTTTTTAGTATTCTACTCAGTGCCAGGATGATGTGTGCTAATCTGTTAATCATATTATACTAAGCGAGAGTCCCTGCTAAGTTGGATCGATCTATGTAGAACCAGAATGAGCCCTTAGTTTTAATATAGCCTGACTTTAATTGTTGCGTGGTTGCTACACATATACGTAGTTAAAATGTTAGCCAACTTAATGCCCAGGTTCTATGCAAAATGTCAGACATTCTGAAATGAGCAGTCAGTGTTAGGAGCCATTTTGTTGATCATGTGACCACTTTCATTTGCATTTAGAATGCATTGATGGTGTTTGAGAGTATGAAATTTTTTCAGTTGTGCTAAGTGAATTGAATTTTTTTTGGAACAACTGAGCTGTGTTATTGTTCAGACAGTGTTACAACTAAATAAGAAATGATATGAATAAAAGTTATCTATTAGCAGTAGATTTTTACAATGATAGTGTTGTGTACAGTCATCTTGTATTACTTTGAATTGTGTGTGCAACTTCTCTGCCCTGCAATTGAGTCAATTTCTCATATGCAGCAATTTAAATATAATTGTAAAATGGCTGCAGTTCAAAAAAAGTTGGTTGGTCCTTATCAAAAAGACAGTTATAAACAGTTAACACTATCACTTGTGTTTGTGGTTGTCTAGGACCACATATATTTGGTAGAAAATGGAAAATAATTGATTATATTTGCTTACATATGTGTCAAAATTTAAAATCAATAATGCTTACTGACTGCTTGGGCTGCCTAACCTGCCTGTTGTGTCATGTAACAGTCATGAGACAGGAGATTTCACTCAAGTTGATGATATCCCAGCTGCAGCTCAGTTTATCAGGATTGGAGGGTTGCATGCTTACATGAGATAATGATAATAAAATGAGTTTTAATGTTTGAAATCTCAATATTTTGTTGTATTATTTTAAACTTGTGTGTTGCAATGTGATATGTTGTTTGAAAGCTGTCCAGTCCTAAGAACTTAATAGTTTGTTGACCCAGCATGCATGTTTATGTTTTAGGCAGACTTGCACCTTTAGTACGTTTATCAAGAAGTGGATAGTAAATATCACGTTTTCTTTGACCTAGGCCTATTAAAAAAATTGCCAATCATCCTCTCAGGATTTTAAACAATATTTGAGGTTCATTGTTTAAATATTAACAGATGCAGCATTTATTCTACCACTACCAGGATATGATATAAGCTGCTAAAGCCTAAAGGCTGAACTCTGAAAGGGCAATGCTGGAAGTAGGTTGACATTTTGTATATATGTAAACTGTATGGAAGGTTTGATACAAAGCCAGAGCTTATTAATTAGTTATCAAGATATGTGGTGTTATTTCCAAAGCTCATTGAAATGGTTAAAGGGATAACAACTGTTCATATGATATCTATGTTTCACAATAAATACATTGTAAACACCTCATAGAAATATACTAAATTCTATTTTACCACCAAAACAATGGTTAATGCAATTATTGTGGAATTTGTGTTTGCCATGACATCATGTGGCCTCCATAGATGGCTTCACTTTTTAGTAATCTCTTAAGAGAATATTATAAAAAAAAACTCTTTAGAAAAAAACTACGGACTAACTTTGAATGTGGGAATGGATTTTTATGTACAGACACAGATGTGTCTGTACATATAGCCATCATCTGCGTCTGTCGTCGCCGTCGTCGCCGTGCACTTTTACCGATAACACGATAAGTGGAATACTGTTTTTTCTTTTGGCTTGAAACTTACAGAACTGATAAATATTCATAATACGCAGGTCAAGTTTGAAAATCAGCATGATCGGGTCACTTTTAGGGAATTTATGCTGTTTTTTCACTTTTTTCAGCATATATGCAGCCCCGATAACACGATAAGTGGAAAACCATTTTACCTTTTGGCTTGAAACTTACAGAACTGATGAATATTCATAATACGCAGGTTAAGTTCGAAAATCAGTGTGATTGGGTCATTTTTAGTGAATTTAGGCTGTTTTTTAATTTTTTTCAGCATATATGCAGCACCGATAACACAATAAATGGAAAACCATTAAACCTTTTGGCTTGAAATTTACAGAACTGATGAATATTCAAAATAGGCAGGTCAAGTTCGAAAATCAGCATGATCGAGCCACTTTTATGGAAGTTAAGCTGTTTTTTCACTTTTTTCAGCATTTTTGCAACACCGATAACATGATAAATGAAAAACTGTTTTACCCTTTGACTTGTTTCTGTTGGAAGACCATCAAAAGTGGAGGATGGATCAACAAAGATACTTTGGAATACTGTCAGAAAATATCTCTTGATCTGCTCCTGTAATTGACCATGTTACCTGTTGTGCATGTTTAAAAATCAGTGTTAACTGACTGTGTTATTATAAGCATTATTTATTATTGCATCAAAATTGACAAAATGACCTATTTTGCATCTTTATTTTCTGTTTTTTGTCTGTACATTTGACAGCTTTGCTGCCTTGTTTAATCATTGGTAAGAATGAGAAAATTGTCCATTAGGTAAATCCTTTTTTTAGCCAAAATGAACAGTTGTTATCTCTTAAACAAAAAAAAAAAGATAAAAGGACAACTTGATTAATTGAATATAAACAGCATGATTATTCAATATTGTATCAGAAAACTGAAATCCAGGCAGATTTAAAATCCCCCTAGGTAAGATTGAGATTTCAATCTTGCCTATTTACATAACTGAATTTTGGATAAAGAATTATCATGGTGTTGTATGTAACTGCCAGTAAATGAGGAGGTAAATCATACAGTACGAATATTATGTTCTTAGTGTATAGCACCACTGAATGTGTTGAAGTAATTGCCTTTTGTTGCTTTTAGGTACATTAAGGACATATAAATCCAGTACCATATTTATATAGCTTATTATTTGTCATTTAGTTTTCTCATGAGAAGCATATTGCATTTATTTTATTTTATTTATTTTGTCAGATGATTGAACATAATATGAAAATATAAACATTAATTTTTGGTTGATATCTTTGAAAGTATGCTGTTGGCATATTGCCTGCTGCTTACAACTTTTCCACCATTGTGCACCAGCTGTGAAGTGTGACATTTTTGATAATTGTTCTGAAGGAAAGTTGACCTCGGGTTTTCTGTGGATTAATGGCCCCTGTGCTCCTCTAATCATCTGTCTCCAATACAAATCCACACACATACACACACCCAGCCCAATAAACTAGCAAGTTTTGAATGATTGTGACAGTGAAATAAAGACACGGATTTACTCCCTTTGTGCCGATGGCTGCTATTATAGTTGAAACATAAAATGAATGTAACATGTGGAAGTAGACATTCATATGCACAACAGCTGCACATGTCTGAATCTCAGATTGAATCACTTTCTCTTGTAAATTTGGTAGAGACTTGTGGTGTATTTAAGGTGAGGAATGTCAGTATTGTTTTTAAGAATCAGTAAAAGTCCTTTTACTGCTAATGAGACCTTTATGGAAGGGTCACATCAACATATTACTTTAAGCTAGAAGGTTCTAGCTTGGATGACAACTGGCTTCTCAATATAATTGTTCCATTGAATGATAAGAGAGGCCAAACAATGCTGGATCTTTTGTACTTTGTTGCCACTATAATGTGGGAGTTTTTGACAGTGGTTTTTCATTTGATTTATTTCAGGTGGAAAGTGTGGAGGCAGTGGCAAGCACAAGCAAAACTGAAGTTTATGAACCTTCGGAAGAATATAAAAAACAAAGGGACCCCTGTGTGGAAAATTTTCAGACATGGAGTGAAATGGACCAAGTTGACTTTGTAGAACATCTACTTTCACTTATGTGTCACTATCAGCATGGTCAAGTCAATACTTTTCTTAAGCCCATGTTACAAAGAGATTTTATTTCTGCATTACCAGGTAATCTTAATACCGTCATCCACTTGCCACAATCACTCATGAATGATAATTTACTTAGCATTGGCATTGAAAACATGAGGTATTTTGCAGCAAGTAATAAACCATGTTGTAAGTTTCAGAGATACGTATATAGCTTCACGTAAAGTTGAAAGAGCTTGCTAATGTCTGCTATATGTGCACATTGCCTCAGCCCTTTAAATATATTAATGCAAATACTTTTCAAATGTGTTTCAGCTAAAGGTTTGGATCACATAGCAGAGACTATCCTGTCCTACCTTGATTTTAAATCACTCTGTTCAGCAGAGTTAGTTTGTAAGGAATGGTACCGTGTGATAGCAGATGGCATGCTGTGGAAGAAACTAATAGAGCGCATGGTACGCACAGATGCCCTATGGAAGGGACTGGCAGAGAGGAGGGGCTGGTAAGAAGTTATGTTATGTAACCATGTTCTCAAAGACACCTGTATGAATTAGAAGAGCACTACTTAAATGCAGAGTTGTAGTATATGTTTACTTATTTGAGAATTTAATTGTTCAGACATTAATCATTTTGTTGGGCTGCTTACAGCTTATAAGTGAAGCTTGTAACGAAGTTATCACTGAGCAGTGCATGGCCAAGCGTACAATTTTATTTTTTCTGTCCCAATTTCCTTTTTATGAAGCCCCAGCCATGTGACAGGCCTGTTGAACATTGACATCTCTCATAATATATTTTGTGCAGTAATCCCAGTTATTATTCTCTGCAGTTGATCACCATATATATATACAAAAAAGTGATAAACCGTGTTTGGCAGCTTAACTGCTTAATCTGCTTTGTCCGGACTCCTGAACTATACCATATGTTCTATGCCATGTAAGATAAAAACTATTTTTGTCATGATATCAGAAACATGCTGCTGATATGCATACGAAACATGTTCTTTTTAGATATTGGCCAGTATTATGACCAAACCTTTCTGATAAATGTTATCATCCATTTTAGGGGACAGTATTTGTTCAAGCCCAAGCCAGGGGAGCCACCAAAAAATCACAAATTCTACAGACAGTTGTACCCACAGATTATTGCAGATATAGAGGTACCAATGTCTAATACAACAATTCATAATGTTAATGCAATCATCTTGGATAAATATTTAAAAGACTGATAAGAGATGGTGATAGGAAAAATATGGAGCCATGGGTTTTTCATGATGTATTTGCTTTAATGATAATTTTTGTATGAAAAAATTTCTGATGCATACCAATCATTTTGTTTTTAGAGGATCGAAAATAACTGGAGAACTGGTCGACACACACTCCAACGCATCCACTGCCGTAGTGAAACCAGCAAAGGGGTTTACTGTTTGCAATATGACGATCAAAAAATAATTAGTGGTTTGCGAGATAATACGATAAAGGTGAGTATTTCATGTGAAAAAAAGAGAAAGTTTTTAAGCAACAAAAAAGGAAATGAATGTTATAGAGATTAGCAGGCATGAAGCACTTGAAGATCTAGTAGAGAATAGGCAATCACCTGCTAATACATTGAACCTTTTCAGATATGGGACAGAAATACATTAGAGTGTACTCAAGTATTGACAGCACACACAGGTTCAGTCCTATGTCTTCAGTATGATGAAAGAATCATCATCTCTGGCTCTAGTGATTCCACTGTCAGGTATGTGTGATTGCATGTTTTTATTTTTTGTGATACTTTATTTTTTCGCCCTCTCTCTCTTTTCATCATAAAAAAAAAACAAAAACGAAGGCTAGAAGCATAAGTTTTGATAGAATTTTAACAAGTGCAATATTTGAAATTCGTCTGTTTAGTTTAATATTTGTATATTTATTATATAGTGGCTGAAATGCTGAATTTTTTTTTGTGACAGGGTCTGGGACATTAAAACAGCAGAAATGACAAACACACTAATTCACCATTGTGAGGCTGTGCTCCATTTACGGTTTGCAGATGGAATAATGGTGACATGCTCAAAGGTATTTTTAGTATTTTTGTCATATTTTATATAAAAGAGCTACATTTTGGCTTGAAGAACTATGTTTTGAACTAAACTGCCAGCAGCATGTAGTTTTCACCATAGTGAACATGCCTCCTAAAATACTAAATCTATGTTTAGGAACAATAAAGGCTCAGATTGTTTAGATTTTTTACTTAAACTTTATTCAATTTGCAACAGTCAGTGCAATCTTTATTCCTTTGTTTTTATGGAAATACAATTTCAGCTCTGAATGTTTTTATAATATTGCTGAATTTCTAGATTTTTGTCTCATATTGTTTTGTTACAGGATCGTTCCATTGCTGTGTGGGACATGCAGTCTCCATCAGAAATTAATTTGAGAAGAGTGTTGGTGGGTCACAGAGCTGCAGTCAATGTTGTAGACTTTGATGACAAATACATTGTTTCTGCATCTGGTGACAGAACAATTAAGGTATGCATTTCCTACATAATGGTGACATTTCTTTAAGCTAGTACTATAAACAATGTAGATTCAACATTTTGACTGAGAACTTAGACCCCATTTCCAGAGATTAGATCGATCTACTTTAGATCGACCTAACTCCCTGGGGGTTCAGGCTAAATAGCTGTCAGCCGGGCGTTAATTACCCCCTTTCAGCTTGTAGTAGGCGGGACGGATATTTAGGCCGGATTATCTGACAGTAATCTAGTGAGACTCCCTGCAGGGATAGATCGATCTAAAAGCTCTGGGAATACAGCCTTAGAAATAGAGTAAATATAGGTCATATTGGAATGAAATATAGACCATTAAAACGTATGGTTGCTCCCCCAAGTGGCAGGTATTACTCTGTACCTGTAAGCATTTTGATTATTAGTCGCTACACAACAAAGATAAGTTGATATTTTATCTTAGAAACTGGCTGCTCAGTTCAAAATCAGGACTGTCACAGTTAAGATTAATGAAAAATATTGAGATTTCTGTCACTTCATTAAGTTTATAGTTTAAAATGTGTCAGGTTAAGTTGGTTAAAAATGTGTCAGAAATGTGGACTGGTGGCATGTTAAAAAATGAATATATATGAAATCTGATAGTTTGGTTTGATAAAACAGGTCTGGAATACGTCCACATGTGAATTTGTCCGCACATTGAATGGCCACAAGAGAGGCATAGCATGTCTGCAATACAGAGACAGGCTTGTAGTCAGTGGGAGTTCAGATAATACTATTAGGTAAGAAAGGTTATTAGCATGTAAAAAATAATTATGTTTAGATATAGTAAGAGTGGTGAAGATGTGAATTATCCTGAAGATGTATTTTTTACTTTGCTGGACTTTCTTCTTGTGATTTTATCTTTGAGAAAATAGAAAATTCTAAAGATGATAGGTGAGATATGTTGACATTTGGTTTATTTTATTCAGGCTGTGGGACATAGAATGTGGTGCTTGCCTTAGAGTTCTTGAGGGTCATGAAGAACTAGTCAGATGTATCAGATTTGACAATAAAAGGATAGTCAGTGGAGCCTATGATGGGTAAGTTAACATGTCTTATAAGATGCATTACTGCAACATTTAGACACACTGTGATTTTAAGAGTTAAAGGATTATAAAAAAGCAGTGGGTCACATGTTTTATAAATTACTTGTTAAGCTTATTCTTTCAGTTCAGTATTTTTAATGCATCAAAGGCTCCCTCACAAAATGAGTAAATTAATTTGTGATTTTGGTTGTAGAAAAATCAAGGTCTGGGACCTTGCAGCAGCACTAGATCCAAGGGCACCAGCTGGAACATTGTGTTTAAGAACATTAGTTGTAAGTATCAACTTTGTGTATTAAAATGTTATTATTTATTTATTTTTGTTGAAAAGAAAATAGAATTGCATTCACAACTTTTGAGTTACCTATTCAGTATAATTTAGACATAACTTGCTGCACTTATCTCTTTTTCTTTTACTGCAGGAACATTCAGGCCGAGTATTTAGACTTCAGTTTGACGAGTTCCAAATTGTTAGCAGCTCACATGATGACACTATACTTATTTGGGACTTCCTAAATGTACCAGTGTCAGAAACCTCAAGCCGATCTCCTTCAAGGTCTTACACTTATGTGTCAAAGTGAAGTTGAAGAAATGATAAAGAAATCTTCGATTTGAAGAAAGAAACAAATGTGGAAAGATTTGTGTTGTGTGAGTGTACCGTATAATTAACACAGTGGAGGTGTCAAACATTAAACATATTGTTTACATTTCATATGTCATACCTGGAAAAAACTCTGATCATTCCCATTGCTCTTGTGAAGATAGATTCAGAAAGATGGATTCAGGAAAACCAACAAAACTGATGTTGTCCCCTGGATGTTGCATTGGTTGTATAGCATGGCTTTTCATCGTTGTCATCATTCACTTCTCATCAATGTTTGCCCATGTATTATACTGCATCAGATGTATATAAAAACAATTTTGTCCAGTAGCTGATAATGAGATAAACAAACAAAGGACAAACTTTGGCCAATAGTTTATTGGTAAAGGTATCAGTGAGCTTTTGTAATGTTCCAACAGTTAAACATATAGAGAATGTGCTTGTATATTGAGGCCATTACTATATTCTGTCCAATTCCGAATGTGTGTTAGACTGGGAAATCTCGGGATGCACAGTACAAGAAATGTCTTTATCCTGTCAGGTTGGTTAGAACATCCTTGTAGTTATTATTATAGTAATCAGTCAACATATTTGAAACAGTATGTTAATTAGTATTATAAGTGCAATTGTCATGTGCTGCAAATCTTGAATTGTACTGACAGCTGTTTGTTGGCAGTAAAGATATTTGATTTCTTCACATTTAGGTGTAGCATTATTTGTATTTATAATAAATGGAAATTTCTTGATTCTTATATATTTTTGACACTTCATTTAAAAGATTTGTAGTAACTGTGTAAGTGTTGCATTGTTGCTTTTACCAGCTCCACATACTGGTCATCTGTTTAACTTTTCATTGTATAAAATCTTGTCCAATATTGTCCAATCTAAGGTGCAAGCTTTCAGCTGCTGGAACAGATTGTTATTCTGTTGAATAAAATGTGATATAAAATGCGTGTTGTTTTAATGTAGTAACAATATTTATTTTTATGTACATATACAGATGTGTCTGTACATGCTGCCATCACCTGCATCTGTCGTCGCTGTCGCGGTTGCCGTGCACTTTCAGCGTAAACACGTTAAGTGGAAGACAGTTTTACCTTTTGGCTTTATATTTACAGAGCTGATGAATATTCATAAAAAAATGCATGTCAAGTTCGAAAAGGCAAACCGATGCGCCTGTTGTCATCGAACTCACGGGTGTAATCAATCTTACTTAAATGCAAGTCAAGTTTGAAAATCAGGATGATCAGGCCATTATTTTAGAAGTCGTGCTGTTTTCTCACTTTTCATCATATATGCAACACTGTAAACACATTTCAAGGAAAACCAATAGGCTTATTGACATGAAACTTACAGGAGTGCTTAATCTTACTAAAATACAGGTCGAGTTCGAAAATAAGCTCGATTGGTTCGGTTTTGATGCGGTTATGCCTTGTTTTGTTTATAAGTGCTTTTACCTCAGATAAAAATTTTTAAGGCATGTTTACAGTCTCATTGAACTAATTAGATATGTATTACTGTTCTTTTGACAAAATTTTCATCTGTACAATATTGTTAGTTGATTACATAAAAATGGTGTTAAACCTGTATTAATCTCTTGTGTAATTAAGTGTCAAAAATGGAAAAAAAAAGCAAATCATTGCAGTTTGTCAGATTTAATCATTTAATATGTTCAGAATCTCAGAATGGAGCAAATTGATCATTTAACATTGTTCTATTGATGTTTTCTACATCTCAACAATTTTCTTTGTTGATCATTAAAAAAGTACAGTAAATTAATTGTTTTATGTAAAAAAAAATGTTAAAATGGAAATAAACCCATTTCAGTACAGTTCTGTCTTGTTTAAATTTTGGTGATTTCAAGTTGTGACTTTGAAGTTCCATAGTCCCGAAGACCTCTGCTAGTCACATTTTCTGAATATTCATGATACTTCTATTTTGTCATTAAAAATTGATAGTCATTATGCTGTTAAGCATTATGCAATATTGCATCAAAATCGAAGAAAACTCCATTCTAGGCACTGCTGCCATAGTGCCCATTAAAGGAAAACCATGTCACTCGCTCTTCTCAAATTTATAGGAAAGAAACATGGGCCTTCAATGCAGCTTCCTTTGGAAAACCAGTCTGTTTAGTTTATTTTTCTGGAAGTTATGCATTTTTTTTGTAAAAATTGGACTTTTAGTATATTGGCATTTTCATTATTTTGTGCATTGTTATTTTCTGCTTTTTGTCTGTACATTTGACAGCTTTGCTGCCTTGTTAAACTTTGAAATGTGAACCTCTACTTTAATTCAGAAATCAAAGCATCATTAAACTCCCATTTTATTTCATTAACTGCTCGAATTTGTAAGTTCACAGAAAGCAAAATCTTAATAAATTACTCCCTAGCAAGTTCTGTGATGATGACTGAAATCTGAATGAAATCTTGGAAGAAATTTCTCTTAAAAAGTTATTCCTAAATATGCTCTAGGTACCATCACATAGGTTTCATGCATAAAATGGATGAGTAAGGAATGCAGTTAAAAATTGTTGTATCATCAAAAACTGGCTGCACAATGTAAAAAATATAGAGCAATATGAGAAAGGAAGCCACTAACAGTGGTAGTGTAAATGCTATAATTATTTTTCTCCTACTTGCATGCCATTTCCCAAATGATATGTAGGGCAGGATAAGTAAAGCTGAAAGCACTCCAAAATAGAATCCTCCAAGATGAGTGAAATTGTTGATGGCTGGTAGGGTGCCCACAAACAGGATCAAGACAATAACAACAGTAAGTTTGAAGAGTTCCCTCCAGGGCCTGGTTACTAATCTCCAAGATTGTAATAGTTCCACCAAAAGAACACCAAATAGTCCACAGACAGCACCACTTCCTCCAGCATGGTGATTATAAGGAGAACTAACCATACCAACCTGAGAAAACATATCACTTTAATGTCATTAATTAATTTTAGTTTAAGTGTGAATGGGATTCAAATGTTCTGCATCATTTTCATGTAAATAAAACTTGCCCTTTACTTTCTCATTTTTCTGACAGCCTGAACAGTTTTGGCATTACCTCATATAAAACAATATAACAAAAAATAAAGTTGGTTTAATTTAACTGTTATTTTCACATTTCTCCATGCAGTAGTATTGTCATTAATAGACAAAACATGATACAGCTGACAGAGTGTTGCATTCTCTTCCACTGTCAACTACCCAATATATATATGACATATCATTCTCAATTAAATAATCATATTTTATATTGTTCTTTAATTTCCTTAACTATGGAGTTTTTTTCTGAGTTTTTGTGGATATATAGTAAATTTCCCACTGACAAATAGATAAATTTTAATTTCCATACTGCATATGTCACAATATGAACTATCCAATACTTTATATACTTATTTACCATGAGTCCACCAAAGCCACTGATGAGGTAGATGAGAAACATCCTTAACCAACCAGCCAGCACTTCAATATGCCTGCCAATCATAATCTGAATGACTAGAACCAAAAGAAGGTGAATGACCCCATGATGGTAGAAGAGGGAGAGAGGAAGTCTCCAAAACTGATATGGACTTGAAGCTTTGTATGGTTTTTCTACATCAGCTACCATGTCTCCTAGACTGCAGATGCTCTTGAGACAGTTCACCTTAAAAACCAATAAATGGGGATAAGTATAATGCCTTGAATTTAATTAATTATTTAATGGTATGAATAGTAGTTTGTTCAAGTTATTTCAAATCTACCCAACTTTTATACACAGATTTTATACACAACATATCACTGCATATTTTCAAAGCAAGTGAATCTTGGCAGAACTGATTGAAAAACACATTATAAATATTAAAACAAACCTGATACTTCTAATAGACAAATAACCATGTATTATAAACCAAATAGCATCCCCAAACTGTATCTCAAATTAAAAAAAGTAATTAAAAATGACATTTTAGTAATAAAGTTTACCTGTATGCAATGTTCCAAATCATAATAATATACCCCCTCTAAAAATACACAATGTTCATAAGATGCAAGCTGGCACTGGCACTGTAAGCCAAAACAACAAGGTTTCATTCTCTGCAGAACATAATTTTTCCCTGCAGGTCTAGAGGCACAGGTAAAGTTGCTGTTCCATTTGCCAACACCTTGAAATATGTATAAGATGTTTAATTATCATGTTCATAATCAGCAGTTTTGACAAAAAAATCATAAATGATTAAAACAAAATTTTAAGAGTGTGCCATTTGGTTGAATGGATTGCTTAATGTCCTTCAAATCATGCTTTAAAATGACTTAGATATCTATAGCTGTTCTACATAGTATAGTATGCATGCTTCCTTTATCAAGCATTTTAATCCATAAGTACATTCTAGCTTCAGACCATGCTCTGGAAAATTCTACTGAACAATTTTTTTTGTTCTTGCTGTTGCTGTTTATATCCTACTATATTGTATAAAACAATGTGGTTACAATTGTGTGATGTCAGTTGCAAATGCTGTTCAAAAAGGGAAGTGCATGTCTGGTTGGGAACTGAAAAAAATTCATACTGAATTTTTAATATTGAAATATATGTTGACCTCATAAATTAGCAAGTAACATATACTAATGTAATGTATGAAAAAAGATGCTTTCTCACCATTTGTAAGATCTTCACATTCACTTTGTGTTGTAGTTCCTGCTGTATTACGAACAGCAATTTCACAACAACCCAAAGGAGCATTGTTGTGATATTTTTTATCTGTAAACTGGAGACTGATCTTGTAGTCATCACGCATACAAGGAGCATATGCTGCACCAACACCTGCAAAATGATAAAATGCAGAAGTATTTGTTGCATTTGATATTTTAAATGAGCAAGACAATCATTAAAGCTTAATAAAACAAATTAGATGAATATGCAGTTCATGTTTAAATCTGCAACTGAAAATAAAAATATCTCAGTTCAGCATTTGTCTAGTGTATGACCACATACCTCAAGCTAGTTTTATTTGTTAAGCAGCAAGTGTAACAGCCATGTCATTATGTTAGTGGCATTTTAGGAAGATCAAATAAAAATGGATCCATACACTTGCTAAAGCATAACACAGGTCGGTTCACTATATATATATGGTTTAGTGTTACAAGAAAACATTACAGTATCTTGGGTGTGGGCCACAGAAAAGTCCCTAACTGCCATTCTTGCTCTGCTTTCTATGCAAGACATCCCATTTACCTGATGATTTCTTTTTATCCACAAAATTTACACAGAATATAGAAGTAATATCATAAAAAATGCTACAGAGAAAATCAGGGATTATGCTGAATCACATTTTCACTTCTAGCAAAAATTAAGGTTAGACTATGAGGCTTAGTAATTAAGGTAGTAAAATGTTTATTATTTATGTAATACACCCACCCTTTTCAGAGACCAGTTTATGACACATGGCTATATGTATAGTATTTCTGCTTACTGATAAGGTATGCTTCTGATGGTCCAATCCAAAGGTTTGGATAATGCCAGTGGTCGATAGTCTCCAATCCCA